GCGGACGTGGTGTAGAGGTAAGTGGCACACTTCACACGCGCACCGTCACGGGTTCGAATCCGGATCGATACCCGCGTAGCAAGGCTTCCATCCCTTCAAGGTCGGTTAATTGGTACCAGACTCGTCGGGGAGGATAAAAGCGCTGCTTTGTATATCTACTAGCCACCGCAAGCTACTGTCTAGGCCATATACGCATTCAAACTCAACTTCGACTTGGAATGGAAGTCGAAAGCGGGGCGCATCCCGAGAATGGGATCGGTTGACGCCAAAGGCCTTCTTTACCCTCCATCAGGAAGTCCGGGAGACGGAATTATTCATACAGTAGAAACTTAAAATATTAGCAAAACCCAGAGAACCCAGAGAACCCAAAAACCATAGACTACAGGTAAAAAGTAGTAAGTAAAATGACAAACTTTTGAAACACGTCCACCATCTTCATTTCCCAATTTTTTACGTCCGCTTCTGTCCAACCGGGTCGATGCTCTGATCGAAATTGCATCGTAAGCATTTTCACCGATTTCATATTCGTTATTCGTGGCATTTCCGGGATTATTGACGAATTTATTACTGAAATTAGAAGCTATGAAATACGGTAGCAAGAATGAATGCTACTGCCATGGTCGATACACCTCTACATGGTAAGTACTGGAGGGAAATTAAAAGATGATTAGTGTTACGTTCCAATATTTATTGATAAATTTAGGCGTTTATACTTCATATCATAATTTTCGGCCTCACAAGTCGGCGATTTCGCGCCTGCTCAAGTGAGTTCTTCGCTACAGTACATTTTCATGAATTTCTGGGGAAATCCCGCGTCTGACACTTAGACATACTACCTGGACAGCAATCAGGGTTGGTTGTTAGTTGAATGCATGCATCCGATTTGGTTTTCAAAGAAAAGTTTTTCTATAGGTGGATGTTCAGTGACTGGTGAGGTCCTGGAGCCCAAGTAACTCTCCGATCAGAATATTCCTATTCCTCGATCTCGAGGGCGAAGAGGAGAAGGCTTTCAATCTACCTAACCGAGGGATTGGGGAGAGGGGGGGGGGGTGGCAGCGGTCCTGAGTGGTGCGCTATGT